CATGAAATGGGGTTTTAGCCTTTTCTCTGCTCATTATAGTCTGTGGGGTTTTGTGTGTTTGTTTGCTTTGAGTCCTAAATTATGCATCTGCAGTTTCAGATATTTGTGATGAATTTAGCAGGGGCCAGTCTGATATTTAAGCAATAATAAAAATAAAATGTCCCACTTTTAATTTTAAGAATGCACTCATAAACACACTTTGTGACCTTCATGTGACTTAAAAGTATCATTGGATTCCATTTTGCTGATAATAAAACTTAAGTCAGGGTCCAGTGAGATGGTTCAGGAGCTTGTCACATATATCTGAAGATCTGACTTGGATCCTTGGAATCCAAATAAAGGTGGGAAGAGAGACAGGCTCTATAAAGTGTGCCCTTGCACACTTTCACCTTGGTGTGCCCCTCTGCATATCATTACACATAAACCATGTACACACACACACACACACACACACACACACACTCTACCAGCAGCAGCAGCAGCAGCAGCTTTAAAAATTAAATGTCCTAAGCTAGGCCTTAGAGTGTGGGATGATAAAGGAGTACTTTGCACTCTTTTGAGTCCCAGTCCACTGATGAAACAAGTCTTTGCTATTGAAATAAGCCTGTGAGAAGAAATAACTCCCTTTTTGGGCTGAAAGAAGTCTGAAATAGAGGCCAGCAGGGCGTTATTCTTACCCTACAACACATTCAAAGTCATTTCCCACCTGAGTTGTACTTGTAGGTACACACTTGTTTTTCCTTTCCCTGAATCTCAGCAGAAGGAACAGCAGTAATCACTGGAGGGCACTGAGGGTCACCTGGATATTATTCTTCATCCACATCTCTGAGTTAGGGAGGGAGTGGCATCCAAAGTCAACTTTCCTGCCTGTTCTTGGGGGAATGGGCTCCTAGACAATTTTGCAGAACACATGGATTGCGATGGTTTATCCTTGAAAAAAGCATTTTTTGTTCATGCCCAATGGAGCGGGAAGGAAGCAAGGGCTGGGTGCATTTGTAGAACAGTCTGGTTCTCGTGCCACTTCTGGGGGTGCAGAGCAGGGGACTGAAACAAAACAACCTTCAGTAATTCCTTATTGTCCATAACACTTTCAGAGAGAGGAAGGGAATCTGACTTGAGGCCTACTGCAGAGCCAGGCAAGAGCATGAAGGAATCACTTCCAGGTTGGGTTTATTTCTAATTATTCAATTAGAATCACTGGGAAATGCAACATAGACACATAAAAGAATTTCATATGGGCTGCAGAGATGGAGTAGTTGTCAAAGTGATTAAAGTACTTTTTTCCAAGTGCAACAACCCGGGTTTGACACCCAGAACTCATGACAGAAAAGCCAGAGCTGAGACTGGTGATGCATTTTTATAATCTTACCAGTGATGAGGCAGAGAGGTGGATATGGCTAGCTAACCTAGCTCCATTGACAAACTCCAGGCCAATGGGAGATAGTGTCTCAAAATAAGGTGGATTGTCATTCTGAACAACATGACACTCAAGGTTGTTCTCTGCCTTCCACATGCACACACACAGACACACACATGCACACACTGACTTACACATATGTGTACATGCACACACATCACATACATAGCATGTATGCTATACACATGCACAATGAACACAGATATGCACCTTCACATCTCCCACGTACCATCCAGAGAATGCCAAATGACTATGTATCTTACACTACACAACCTACTAGATGTTTAGTTTTCTATATTCTATTTAATTTCCAATAAGTAGTTCTGTATAATTTATTTTTAGTATACTAGTGACTCAAAGTGATAAGTCTGGCTGTGAAATAGTCTAGCTTCAAGCTAAGTTCTCTCTACTTCTCCTGAATATTTTGAAAGAAGACTCCAGAAACACCCATACTCACTTCAAATATTTAAAGCATCCAAACAGGTATTCTTTGTCTAGTGTATTAATGGGCCAAGCCTGAAATCATCCTCTTATATCACAGAACATTTTAATAATTGCTATTCTAAATGAATTATATTTTTCAATTTGTTTAAAATGTAGTACTCAAGTTGAGTGCTGTTAGTAAATTCTACAGAAGCAGAGCAGTGGCAAGGATATTCTAGTTGCTACTTAGTCATGAGAGAAGCAAGTGAAGGGGTTCTGAGTGTCTAAGGCCAGTTTATCTAAAGCTTTATATAAAGCTTGCCTGAGGAGATCTGTGAGAGATACAAGTGTATCTACACCAAGCTTTCTGTTCTGAGATCTGGATTCAGTTATGTTCTTTGGAAGGTTTAAGAGGCAAATGCATTTTTCTAAAGCTTGTATTTCTTCCGTGAAATCCAACTAATGGTAATTCTGATCACTAGTGTCTCCAACTTAAAATTCCCAAAGCTGAAATCAGCATCTGTTTTGTCTACCTAGACATCTTAGTTGCTTATTGATGGCTGCCACTCCATGTCAAGGGGTCCAAACAGCAAGCCTACATGGACTTCTTTTTCTTCTCTCATTGTCATAAACTCCAGGACTAGTAACTACTGACTCATGAGACTCTCATACACATTCTGTCATTCTCAGTGATCCCTCCAATCTATGCCTTAAGCTCTTGATGGTTTTCTAGTACTGTAGTGGTGTGAATGAGATTGTCCTATATCATTTTTGACATTTGCATACTTGGACCTCAATTGCTGGAGATTTTTAAGGAGGCTTAGGGGTGTGGCCTTGTTGGAAAAGGTATATCACTCATATGCTGGCTTTTAAGATTCATTTTTGCTGCCTCCTGCTGTGCCGATGCTCTTAGCTTGCTATTCCAGCTGCCGTGCCTGCCTGCTGTTACGATGGTGATGGACTCCTACCCCTCTGAAATGGTAAGCTCAAAGAAACCTTTCTGTCTATAAGGCTCCTTGGCCAGGGTGTTGTATAACATCGATAGAAAAGTAACTAATGAACAGAAAAATTTTGTGACATCATATTGCTATACAGGACTGCATAGCTAACCTCAAGTCACATCATGGTACCACTGCACTGACAGTTCCCACACAGGCTCTGCTTAATTATGCTTCCCTTTCAAGAACCTCAAATCAGGAAAACTCTACTTCCCATTTGAGCATGTCACTCTCTCCAAGAACATTCTTGGCTCCTCCCTTCCTCTCCTCAGTTAGTGTTAACACTAGTCCCACCAGCAAGTTGTGTCCTTCACATCTTCCTCAGAGCACTGACTGGGTCCTGGTGACCACGTGTGTATGCCTTTTCCTAAAACTGGTTCGTGAGTTGCCTGTGAATGAAGGATATAATCCATTGTCAATAGTCCCTTTGTACTCAGTATGATGTCTAGAAACAAAGAGGTTTACTAGGAGGCATGCCCTAGATTTTTTTTCTCTCTCTCTTTGCCTTTTTCAGTGTTCCTATGAAGTAGGGCAAGAAGAATTGAACAGTGATGATGGTAACAGCATTCTGGCTGTGCCATGTTGGCCTCCTGAAGGGCTAGGGAATCAGAGCAAAAGAGACAAGTGAATCAAAGAGTCTTCTAGCCCTGCTGACTGACACAAAAACGTAACCAGTAAAATGTGAAAATGAGTCAGGGCAGAGCTTCTGGTTGGTGCCACTTGCTGTTTTATCTCCAGTACCTGGCAGAATCCCTTCGTATGAGTGTTCAAGTGGTATTTGTTGAATCCATGATGTATCGATGGATGGATGGGATGAAATAAAAAGGTTGACTGGAGTGCCTATGCCCTCCCCACTTTCAACTTACACTCTTTGTGCAGCATGTGTGTGTGTAGATGTGTTCTTCACACAAAATGGAAAATTAGCTATTAGAACTTTCCTTTTGCAACAAACCACAAAGTGAAACATAAGGAGAAACTGGAGAGATTGCTCAGTGGTGTGGAACACTTGCTGCTCTTGCAGAAGACCCCCAGATTTAAATGCCAGTACCCATACAGGGTAGGTTATAACCATCTGGAACTCTAGCTCTAG